CTGAGAATTKCATAGAAATTTCAATGATTATTCTGCTTTTCTGAACTCACTTTTGAATTCAACATGTAGCCACACACAGACTCCTAATGTTTTTACTTCTATTTCAAAACACATATTTCTAGCCTGTTATTTTATCTTTTACTCCTTAATAACTGAGTCTTAAGCAGTCTTCATTGTTTAAAAAAAAAATAAAAATCAAGGGATTGTTTTCTAGTTCTTGTTATAAGATTATGAGCAAAAGAACAGGTACAAAATCCAGCTGCTTTCCATTAACAAAGTTAATTTGTTTTTACTGAATGGCAGCTGTTGAATTGAATGGCAAGTGCAGGTTTTAGTTGCATTTTATATGGTTGCTCATTAAGATACATCTTTACAACTTCTTGAACTTGAGCTTAGCTTTAGGCACAAAAAGATCCCATTGACCTGAGTACAGCTTGAGAACTCCTGCTGTATAGGAATAAAGCATGCAGAGAGCCTGATCCTTGTTTCCAAAGAGCCTCTCAAAACACCATTACATATTCAGCTCCACTTAAAACACTGCACTGACCTTGCAGGGAGAGACAGCATTACATCTCATACAAGTCTTATACTTTATGAACTGCAGAAATCTGKGAAGACTCAGGCAGTGTAACAGCACATGCCCTTGAATTTTTATTAGCCTGTCTATGCAGAATCAGAGTTTACAGAGAGCAGTACTTGTTCACAAGTACTTTTTGTTCACAATACTACTTTATTGTTTTTACAGACACTGCAATATTTTCTAAAACCCGCATTTCTAATTTGGTTTTAAAAACTCCTTTGTGTTTATCTGTGTGTCAACTGAAAGGCAAACTAAGCCAAACACAACCATAATTCATTATCTATTAGAACATTTGGTGATGAGAATTTCCTGAGAAGAGCATTCCCACAGAAGTAAAAAGCTGAGCTGCGAACAAGAGCGAGCTCACCTGCAAACTTTGCTGTACAGAATCTCACTCAGGCATCCAGCAATGATCCCTCTCATCCAACCCAGTGACAGTCACCTAATCACCAGGCTGTTCTTGATCAAAATTTCTTTATTATTTTTGGGCGATAGATACATCGCCACAAATGTCACATCTTCCAAATGTGACAATGTTGCCTGTCCCAGGGAGYAGAGCAAAGTATGTGGCTGAGGTGGTTGCAGGTTGTGACTGGTGTTCTGGCATGAAAAAGGAGAAGGCAATGTCTGAGCAATGCTGTTATAGAAACTTCAGTAAAGCTTTTTGAGACATGGGTATGAATTCATGGCTGCTTATTATAATTAATGTATTCATATAATGCCTTATTGAAGGAAGAGGAGGCAGTAAAAGACCTAAAATAAGTAGAGACGCTTTTTTATTTTTAGCTTTATAAAACACTCTTAAACACACTTCTTGGAAAAACAGTCACACATGCCTTTTTGCATGGTCACTGCAAGAGCAGCACTCTCACAATTACAGTTCTCCAGGTACCTTTTTTCCATTAGAATGTTCACAAGAAGTTTGTTGACCAAGTTGCTAGTGACTAGCTAAGAAGATAAAAAATGGTAAATAGTAAATAATCAGCTGTATATTGTATGGAGCTACTTTTTCTTAATTTTCTTTTTCCTTCACCTTTGGCATAGCACTGCTCATGTACAGCCCAAACCCAGCTGAATAGCTCAAACACTGAATCAAGCTGTGACTTGCACAAGTACAGCACCTATTTTTGCCTGATTTGAACAAGAACACTTGTGGCAGTGACATGGAGTAAAACAGCCAAATTGRAATGAACCTGTGCCAACCAACTAGTCCAGAGTGATGTGTGATCCAGAACTTGTGGAACAGAGATATTTCAGGTTTCATTCTGCAGAGCAACWTACAAAATGGCCAAATAATGTTGTAGGTAGACATTATAAGATTAGAAAATAATAGAATTAAATTGGCCAGAATTGCTTGTAGCTTCTGAACTCAGATCCCTTAGATGCATTGAAGATGAGATGAGCTGTCAGTTCAGTTCAGCTGCAGAAGATTGGTTCTGCATCCTTGGGAGAGATAGATGGGGAACACATTGAGGTGATACAGGAAAGCTTGATGATTTTCTCTTGCTTTAGGCAAATAATTTCTGTCTCTAGGAACATGATTTATACGTCCTTTTAATTCTTTCAACCTCCCTGCATGTTATTAGACAAATTAGATATGCCCATCTTTTCACAAAGGGCTGCTTTATTCCCTCATTGTATGAGTGTATGACTTAAGTCCATTAGTCAAATTCATAATGCTGCTAAGCACTCCCAAGCTATAAAGCAAAGTCACCTGAAATTTCAAAGTTTCAGTTCAGTATCACACTATCACACTAACTTCTTTGAAGTGCAGGTCATCTCAAGTTAATTGACTCAACTGAATGGATACCTTTAATCTCAGTGACTTTCAGCCCTGTCTTTCCTCAATTTTAAGGAGATAAGCCTCTCAGGTGCTGAGATCCTGAAAATACTCATATGACAATGATTCACTGCCTCCAGCACAGGCTAGAAGAAATGGCAAGGGGCACATGCTGAGGGACTGTGACTCAAGGTTCCATGTCTTGGGGAAACTTCATGGGGTTTTAAGCAGGAAATCACAAAGAAACTTCCCAATATTTTTCTATGAACAATTAAACCCATCCATAATCTAGCAGACATTCCTATGGCCACTTTCATGTAGATCGCAAAAGATGCTTCTTTATGCACAGATTTGCAAATATTTTGACCTAGACCCCACTACAGCTAAGGGTGTTTTAAAAACCAAACTATACAWTTGTGTAGTCACAAAAATCTCCCACATGTAAAGCATTATACAGGAATTTAATTCCAGGGCTATAGATGCAGACCTGTCTATTTAATTTGATTTTTAAAATAAACTAATTCAGCTACTTTTTTCTTTGGATACAGCAATAAACAACATCATGGTACTTCAAGGGTCAATGCTGCAGTGTACACAAGAAAAGTAATTTATTATGGTTTTGTTTCACAGGTGTCTATAGAGTAGTGTACTCAGCAAAAAGGAAAAAAACAAAAGCTGTGAAGCAGCATATTGTTCATCAGGATGACACACCATGGTAATTATTTTTGTTCTTCTGGGAATATAGGTTCCAGTACAAGGCACCTTTTTGTTACGGCAGCAGTGCTTCAGAAAAGAAAATAATAATAATGCTTATACAAAAGATCAGCAAATTCGAAGATTCTGAACCTGAATTTCAACAATTACTTTTATTTTAAAATGCAAGAGGTAAAGCATATGCTTTTAGTGTAAAGATGCATGTAATTTACTTTCATATGGTTCTTATGAGGTGCCACATCTGAGTACTTTGACAAACACYAATGTAATCTGCTTTCCCTGAGTGAATATCCAAACAGGGTATTTGTTTGAGGAAGCATGAAAGTTCAGGTTTTTTTAGCAGGAACTCAGCTTTGCTCACTACTTTGTGACTCAGCCCTGAAGGCCCATTTTACATCRAAGTTCTGATGCAATATTACCTTCTGAAAACCCTTAGTAAAACTAATCCATCAATACTTTCTGCCTAGCTACATTCCTTGGAGAAATGGCCAGTTGGTCCCATCCTGTAAGGTTTTTCTTCCATCTGGAACACAAAATGCCATGATAGCATTGATTTACTCATCAGTACCCCTCCCCAACTAGAAAGCCATCCACCACTGGCATTTCCACCAGGAACTTTAACAACTTAAAGTTCATTTCTGATTTAATGGGGATTACTGGCTAGCTTGATCTGTACTCTGGGCACATCTCACCCCTCAAAAATGTTGATGTTTTACTTTTTACTAAGATGTCTGAAATGTATAAAAGTGTTAAGTTTATTTGCATTTCACACAATTTATTTTTCAAAACTTTTAGTAAGGAAGCGATCTTCAGTCTTGGCTCTTAAAAAMAGAAAATAATGAAAAGGAGTTTTTCAAGAATTTATTTGCATGAAATGAAAGGGTCTTACAGTAATAAACATCTCTTGCATTATTTATTTCATGCCAAGTCTGGATTTTGCTAGCTAAAAGGTTTAATTTGAATAAAAGAGGAAACTTTTGTCTGTACATTCCTAGAGAAGTTAAGGGGGTTACATTGGCAGAGTTGTCTATAAAATTCATAGACACCAGATGGCCCCATAGCACTCGCTCATCTAACAAACAGATTTCAGCTTCCCTGTAGGGAAAAAGAGAAGCTGCTTAGTTGATGTTCAAAGCTAGGGCTGCTTGATTTTAGAGAAGGAAAACTGCCCTGAAATTATATATATATATATATATATGATTAGGATATATAAAATAGAGTTAGGGTACTTACCTGAGAAAATCTAGGACTGCCTTTGCATTTTATTGGCCAGCTGTAGCAGCATCTCTTAAAAAGAGCTGCAACACCTCTGCAGAGCTTGGTCCTGTATGAACAAGGGTCACAAATGCCACAAGAAAGTGCTTTACAGACACAGGTGAAGTGGAAGGGGAAGCCTATCTATGGGATTAAGCACCAGCATCAGACTGTCAGGAGCTGACAGAGAAAGGGAGACATTAAAAGAGTTTTTTAAAAAAATCTAATAGAGAATGGAAAAAAAAGTTAATTAGGTTGCTCCAGTTAGAACACCCAATTCTCCTCCCAACAAAACTAATTAAATTTCTGTCACTAATGGCAACAGACACAKAGATAAGTCTTAAGTTTGTTTACATGATATAAGCACGGAAAATATTGGCACACAAGTGCTTAATATTTCAAGTAGAGCTGCAAATGCAACTTTCAGAGTTGTATCTGAAACTAAGGCTCACTGTCAGCTAGGAAAGGGTAGGAAGCCCCTTCCACTCAATTAGGATCAGACAACCGACACCAGGATCAGATCAAAATATCTTGAACTCCAAACAAAGCAATGGATTAAATGCAGCTATTTATGTGTGAGATAGAAGCTACTATTTACATTGTGGTATAAACACAAGCCTTGTGAAACACATTCTCTTTCCCTCCCCACAAAAAGATAACAGGAGAAGAAACTTGTTCACAAAAAAAGGTGCAGTGTATGTTTATTTTACATAAGTACTCATACAGAGGACATTAATAGCACACGGAGAACTGTCAGATTCTTACTCCCAATTATCTATTCCTCCCAAGAAGTAATAAACTGAAGATTAGACTTGCTATTTGGCAACATAAACATTGCAAAAATAGTATGTATTTCYATTAGGAGGTACTTTGTTACACCTTATTCCTGGCTCACCTCATGTTACATGACACTTATTAGAATGTGGCTATGCAGCTGGCGACTACCAGTTCAGAGAAGTTGGATCACACTCAAATACACTGTTTTTATAATAAAACCAAACCAAGTCTGCCTGTATGTAACMGGTGAGATTTTCAGATTAGCTGATTAAGGTTTCAACTGTAACAGCTTATGCATTTTTATTTCTTTTTGAACTATAAAATTCAGTCTATTACATGACATAACAGATTACAAAGATGAAGCCATTTGCTTCATTTTCTCTGTAGTTCAAAAAGGTAGATGTTGAAATCTTACACTGAGATCCAAGAGATTCAGTGTTTAAATTGCTGCTAAAAACATTGTAAATAGTTTAAAAGGTGCTGTGGGCTGATCCCACTCAGCAGCCAAGTGCCCACGCAGTTGCTCACTCCCCTTATCTCTCCTCTATCCCAGCAAGATAAGGAGAGAGGAGMAGCAAAAGCAAATCTCACTGGCTGAGATAAAGAGTTTAATGAATGAAGGAAAGATATGAAGAGTAAACCACCAAGTGATGCAAAGGCAATCCCTCACTACCTCCCACAGACAGACTGATGCCCAGCCAAATGGCAAACAGCCACCTTGGAAGCCACACAACCTGCACCCCCTTCTTTCTCCACCTCTTCCTTCTTTACAATATGGAATAACCCTTTGGCCAGGTGAGGTTGACCAGTTCCCAGCCATGTCACTCCCAATCTCTTGCCTACTCACAGTGGGGGCAAAGCAGGAAAAAGAGACTTGACCCTGGAAAGATTCTTCAGCMACAGCCAGGAGATTGGTGTTATCAACATTAGTTTAGATTTTAACAAGTCTAAGTCATGGAACCATATAGAATGTAATGAAGAAAGTTAACTCCATCTCTTCCAGACCCAGCACAGAAATAAACCCCAAGCAGTCAGCTATTAATCTGCATGATATATCACATGTAACTCACAATTTGGAAGCCCAAAAATCACAAGCAAGTCATCTATTGTAAAATGCTTTCAGCATATGAAACCATGTACCAGATATATCAAACCTGACAGCAATCCACTACAGTCAGTACTCTGCCTAACATTGTAGCAGTGGCTTTGACCAATGTACGTATAAAACAAGCAACCCCAAACATACAACTTTGTATGGGATCTTGTGGGACTCGTGTCCATGTTATCAAAACTGATCTGTTTTTCTCCCACAGTTTGGATACTGGCATTTACTGCTTTCTCCCAGCAGGTTGTGAGTAGTATTGTACAGCAGATATGCATAAATAGAATCATAAATAAAATAAAATAAGCTAACAAGGTGCTCAGAAAAGCAGCTCTGTGACTTTGTCACAGTGCATGAAAACTCAGTTTACAATGCTTGCTTACTCTAGTTCCAGGGGAAAAAAACCACAAAAATAAAACCCCATAAGAAAATAAACTACAGTTTCCATGGAACTCTTCTCCTTTCCAAGATTCTTCCCTGTCTGACCATCCAGGAACTCCTATGGCAGCCACACCTGCCCCTGCCCATAAATTGACTGGAAATGGAGGGTAGAARTGTTGGTAGGTAGAAATCATGAGTGTCTCTTCACAAACCTTCAGARCTCCTCAGTATCTGTAGGGACAGCTGTTCATTAAACCCAAAATACCCCAAAGAGCACTTATCCTAGAGACGGAGGTTTTCAATCTACCATGAAGCTCACTTCTGTTAAGGATAAAGGTGTTGAGCACCTCAGATGTTTAACCCACTGAAAAACTTCAGSAGCTGAGGGTAAACAGTGCAGAGCTTTCTGGCCCTTGAGGATGTTTAAAGGCGAATGCCCTATTCTCCTCTTCAGAAAACTACTACTCACCTCCAGAGAGTGACAGAGGAGAGCCAGGAAAGAGGTCTCCATAAACAAGAAAGGCTACCAGACTAAGAGTGCCCACAAAAATTAACCTGTAACACTAAGAAAAGTATTYAGCAATTCAGTCTTACATGCAAAGGCCACTCCTGGAGAGCAGGAAAGCTCTGCCAGAGCAGGTCAGTGCTCGCAGCTCAGTGTTGCTGATGCAGGAGCTGCTTTGGGGCTCCTATCCTGGAGCAGGAGCTGGTGTGGGGCTCCAGCCCAGGGGAAAGTGTCCTTCCTGGAACTCAGAAGCATCTGTCCACACAAGAAAAGCTTTCTAGGAAAGCCCAAGGTCACYTATGGTTGGATTTGAACATGGACCAAGCAAGGTTATCTGCCCTGGGTTTTAAAGGTATTGCTGCTCATGGAAGAATTCTGAATTTGAGAGGCTAAGGCACAGTGAAAGTGAGCAATCAAGGCCATGGTTATCGGTCCAATTTAAAACAAACAAAGCTCCATTCCCAAATGAGCTGAATCCACTTTAAGGCACATAGGAGGGGCACAATGGGCACTGATAACATCATGCGTCAAATCTAAACAGGACTAGAGATTTCTCTCCCTTTCTAAAGCATGCAACCCCAATTTGGGGTCTGTACCAGTGTACTAAAAAAAATCCAGAGTTTTGTTTGAGGTATTTGAAATTTTACAGCTTGTGCACAGCTCTGCTGCTTGCCACACACCTCAGTGCAGATGTGCCAGAACCACCAGTCACCCAGGCTCTGCCCTGGGTAGACATTTCTCCAGCAGGCTTCACTCCCTTGAAAGTGAGTGGCAGCAAAAGCAGCAGCCTTAGCTTCCTTTTCCTCTCTCACACTTTTCTGCAGCAGGTCAAGGATATTTGTTATTCCACAGTGCTACACAACAAGCAAGCTTTTCCTAAACATGTCCAAATAGAAGTTTCTAAACCACAAAATAAACATAGCTCTTACAGTAAGTTAGGCAGCAAAAGRCAGGTTATACCTAATATTTCATATTAAATGTAGTGTTATTTAACTTTTTTCCTTGTCCTCAGTGTAGCAGTTACAGGAGGTCCCTTTGAAAAAAATTGAGATGTCCACAGAAAGTAACAAGTAAGTTTACTTTCTGGGCTTTTTACTCCCTGTCATAACAAAGTAGTGATCATCTTGCCTGCTCTTCAGAAGAGGAACTTTGGACACGCCAGGTGTTCCTTTGTKACATGCTTGCTCCTTTGGGAGTGGCTTCTTGGCTGCTGGGGCCAAGYTTTTGTTTGTTTGCAAGTTTTTGGTTGAATGCTGACCCTTTGTGGAAGGCTGCGTTGGCTTTTTGGTCACTGCTGCTTTGGCTGAAGTTTGAGGCAGCCGTACAACAGACAAAGGTGTGCGTTCAGCAGGTCTGGATAAAGAGGGTCCAACCTGAGRGGGATTGCTGGCATTTGGCTGCTGACTGCCAGCTAGTGACACATTTGTGCCTAAAGGTAACAGTGAAGATGGTGATTTTGATGCTTTGTTAACTGCAACGGAAGGTGCAGAAGCAGAAAGTTTTAGGACTGAAGCAGTTTTCAAGCTCCTTGCTAGATCAGAAGTTGTTTGTGGGGTTTTCTGAGGATGCTGAGACCCAGCCCCCGAGATCTGAATATCATTKTCAGGAGGTTTTGCAAGGTGTTGCTGAGAATGTGCAAACTTGGCAACAGAACGCAGATTTGTAGCCGGCAGCCGAGCAGCCCTGGGAGTGGTTGAATTCACTTTGGTTTTAGTGGCAGGTACAGGTCTGCWGTTCGCAGGCACACACTTCTGTTTTGAAGTCGTTGTTCCAGCTTTCCCAGACAGGTGAGGCCGTTGTTTTTTAGAGGGTGAGAGGGCAGGATGGGGTGCTGGTGCTGGGGAGCCCCGAGGCAGGGCAAATTTCACCTTGGTAGCATCAGGGGACTGAATACGTTTGCACAAGGTTTCAGAGGGAACAAGAGCTGCTCTTGCTCCTGCACGTGAAGAACTTTTGCTTCCAGGCTGTGAAGGAGCAGAAGCTGGTGAGTTGCATGCAGGAGAGTCCAGTTTCTTTGAGGTGCCAGCTAATGGTTTGAAAGGAGACTGCACACCTGTTGCTGGAGACCCCTGTAATTTGGACCTGACTGTTGATGACTTGGCTGTGGAAGACGGGGTCACTGGCACTCTTGGTGATGCCAGGGCAGGGGACTGAGGACGTTTAGATAAAGCCTTCTTGGCACTGGCCCCGAGACCTAAAACAGGAGCAGGAGGTTTTGATGGCTGCTTTTGAAACATGTTGACAGCYAACATTGGATTCATAACAGGAGGCTCCTGATTTCTGGCTGACGAGTTGGAGACACTGTCACTGGTAACCCCTTTCTGAAATGCCAGGATTTTTTGTTCCAGAGTTGCAAACTGAAGCACTCTGCATGGATCATACTTGAGCAGAAAACCTTGAAGGGTGTCCCAGCCTCCACCAACACGGACCATCACATGCTTGCCATGCAGCATCTGAGAAAGAGAGAAAAGGGGGTGGGGGAGCAGAAGAACAAGAGAAATTTCTATCTTATTTTATGCAGCTTTAGGTTTTCATCTTACCACCTACTGAAACTGACTAAATACAGACCTTCCTTTCTCACAGAGAGACATTTTAAAAGAGAGAAAGTATGTGATAAACTAGATTTATGCTTCCCTATTATTCTATTAGATAGCTTCTCCTGCAGAGATAGTAATTCTATGTCAAGAAATAATGAAAGCATCTTTACAGAGGACATTTTAACCATTCTGTAAGAATCTTTGTTTAGTATACAGAGTTCTGGATACAGGTTTCATTCAAATTATGGATGTCCTTGTAACACAAACTCGATGTCCTTGTAACACAAACTCTTATGACTGCTGACAAGAGTACTCAACTAGCCTGCAAATTATAAACCCCAAGAGTCCGGGTTTTGAACAAGCAACATTTTCATGGTAGTCTATGGCATTATCCTTACTTATGTTGCAAGTCATTACTGAAATTTTAGAGACACCACAGATAAGCATTAAATTAGTCTAATGTGGTTGCAAAATCAATTTGTAGATCAAAGATCTAAAAAATGAAGAGACTACACCTATTTAGAATAGGGGATTGAATGATAATTTCTCCCAACCTAAATAATTCTCTAATTCTGAAACATCACTGTAAAAAGGAGATATTTCACTTAAATGCATTTCTCTCCCCAATATAAATATAAATTKGAGTTCTAAAAAATTACTTACTCGTATGAAAAGTACTTTATCTCCCAGCCTATAACGTCCTTCTGATAAATATTCAATTGAGAATCGATGGGAACAACTGCAGGGAGGATCTTCTGCTATATGCTTTACCTAATTATTAAAATTGAAAGCATTTGTTAGTATTTTGACAGAAACATGTGTTTAACCATCTACTGAGTTAATTGTCTATTAAGAAGGATAATCCAAGAAGGAAACCAATGAAAAGAGCAAAAAGGGAGTCCCCAAATAAGTACTGGGTTAGAGAAGAYCTGCCTCGTAGAGCCACTTAGAAATGCTACAAATTGGAAGGTTGAGATTATTGCCAAGAAGGAAAAATAGTGGGTTTTCAGAAAGAGCAAGGATCTGGTAGCTGACATTCCCAAAGAARCAGAGTTTTTATATTACAACACAGAGGACCTTTAAAACAAATGAATTTTTAAACAGAATAGGAAAATTTTTCATAATTTCCTTTGGACCAATTCACAAGCTGTACAAATCATTTCCTTTTCTGCATACATATTAATTTCCAATTGGTACAGCTACAAAGATTTAATTTAAAATCCTTTTTCAAAATACTTTCATCAAAGCCTACTTTAACATTTGATGAATTTTTATGAAAAGATCACATTGAAGAGAAACATTAATTGAAGTCATAGAATATTGACACACCAGAGAAACTGAATGAGATCATTTCTTACACTCAAAGAAGCAATGAAAATGAAGAGGGGGGAGGAAATCAATATAAGCCATATGCACTCCAAAACATATAGAACAGTATTTGGTTTGTTTTCAAAACAAAACAAATTAATAAAAGAGGTGCATACCCTTCTGTTTGCTATGTGAGGAGGGTCACACATATTAGATGAAAAGCAGCCTGTGTTTACTGAGCCCGATTGTACAAGTACAAAATTTAAGACTTTAATTTAAAGCCCTGAGCTTTAAATTAAACTCTCTGAATTCTCACACTAAGAAAGTAGCACTTACTGCCTCGTGTAGTTCCCCATGGTGGCAACATGACTTTGGTGTGCTAACAGGTGATGGTGGCCCAGAGGTCAGCAGCAGGGTTTCTTCTAGCTCAATTTCCTTTTCTAGTTTTACAAGTACAGGAGGTTCAACTCCATACCTGAAATACCAAAGTAGARTGTTTAATCCCTAATTTACTAAAGAAAACAAAAGGAAACTGATGATAGCAAACTTGCAAAATTACAAGTGGACAGACAGGGACATCTGAATCAGTCAGAGGGGTAATTGCCTTGATAATGCAAAAAGGAGCATCTCTGAGYTCCTTGCAGAAGCCCTTCCTAAGGTAGCTTTGGCATAACCAGAGGATGAAGTAAAAATACTKCCAAAACTACATAATGGAGGTCACATCCAATTTGGATAAATTTAAAGCTTCCAGCTCTGCACTAGAAATAAAAGTCTAAATTTAGAGAATAAAGAGATACCTTCCAAAAAGCTGAAAAATTTAAACACTTAAAATGTTATTTAATGCTCAGTGAGTTCTTCCAAGAGGTACACATATCATAAGCTGAATGCATAATTCAAACACTGAGCCACAGAAGGCAGCACAGAACAGAACCTCTCCATGGAAAGAGGCTGATAAATATTTGAAAAAATATTCAYATTGTATGATGGTCCTAGAAAAGCTACTCATTACTTTTTACACAAAATTAACATCCACTGCATGCAAATAATGCCTTAACTGCATCTAAGCTTTACTTAGAAAGATGTGTACTTCAATTTCCCATTAGGAGCATGTGCAGGTCACGTACCTGGACACGATGCGGCCAATTTCCAGCAGACAAAGATACACTTGTCTTGGGTCCTTGTGCAACACTTTAATTGGAAGAGAATAAAGAGGAGTTACAGTTCACATTTATTGCAGGCCCATGCAATTAGGTACAGCAAAGAGAAGGGAAGATAGGGTACCCATGACTATAAATTTCCCATCGTCCTACCCAGAGGCAAACTACATTATCGTTGATAACGCACTACATGCTTTRCAACTCTAATTTTTTATTCCATAAAGTCTTTAAACCCATCCTGGTACTCCTGAAACCAAACTCTTCTCTTCCTCCTAAGATAAATATGTTTTATGATCTTCCTTCTTGATGAGAACAGGAAAGACAAAGATGTAAATGCTTCCCCTTCCCACAAATGAAATATGGCAGTCTTAAAGATGAAAAGTGATTAACTGCAAACAGGAAAATATACCCATCTGTTCATGCTCATGCCTACAGACACAGCTAGGTACACGGACTCTGGAGGTTACCATCCACTGGAGGAYACACTGCAAGCACCCTAGCTGGCAAGTGACTGACTACATTGCCAGACAGCCTGAGGGGTTTTAACCCTTGGTTATGAAAGAACAATCTGGGTGACTGTCACCAGTTCAGTRAGCAACATACTTTTTTCTTATCATCACTTCAACTGGTCTACATTTACAGATGAAATCCAACATCTTTTTGATGTTCAATTTTATGTTTAAAGGGCCYTTGCTTTGAATGTGTTTTCTAAAGTATGAGCCAAGTATAAAGTCAGATGTTCTTGTTTACATCATCTACTCCAGTTTGTAAATCTGCTTTTTAAAAGATCTGATTATGAAGGGTAAGTCTTGAACAGAAAGCTTACACAGCCATAATCTAAAAGTTACTAGAGGTCAATTAATCTCTGTGTGTGTGTGTGTGTGTGTGTGTGTGTGTGTGTGTATTTGCCAGCTGTAACAGAAATATTTTGATTTGTTTGCATCCGAAAAGGAAAAATCCAAATATACCCCTAGCAGAGATCAAGATATTTGTTTTGGCTTGATGTCAAAGGGCACCCTTCTGTGCCTGTTCTTCCTTCCTACTGTCTCAGGAGCATCTTGATTTATTTCCTCCCCAGTCATCTACAGTTTTCAGGAAGTGCTGCTGTATGTACCTGATGGTAAAAAGACAGCTGTCAACTTATCCCTATTTCATTTATAAAGAATGGCTTGAAAGTCTGATGGAAAGCATCAGTGGAAAAAGTGTTTCATCTGGGAGGCTGCAAGTCTGCTCATTTCAACTGCCAAAAAACGCTCACAGAAGGTATTTATGCCACAAGGCAAGCCGGTGTTGAGAGTTACCATCAGACTTCAAAACACTTCTWGCTATGAGTGAAAGCCACAGCACCAGGAAATCCTGTCTGCTATCTCAGGGAAGCCAAACAGGTTCTAGTTACCTGTCCACCTACAGGAACAGATATGTTTAAGCAATACAATTCATACAAGGAATTAACAAAAAAAAAAAAAAGTTAAAATATTCTTGTAGCTAAGTTATACTCATCTGCATTTCCTGCCTTTGAGAAAAGATACACTCATTAATCAAAATGAAAAAATGCAAATGATGATGTTTTCTCAACTATTTTAAAAGATTACTTTTCCAGTAGAGATGCATGAGCATTCCAACCAGCATGTAAATAGCATTTAATGAYACAAAGACTACAAAATCCAGTAATTATTGTGACAAATTAATTTGGTTACTGAAAACAAAGGTACYTCTCAATTTTTTGCTATTCTGCTGACATGCAGATAATTTGCTTATTAAAAAAAAAGTCAAGCAACAAAAAGCAATATTTGGCTTGCCACAGGAAGTTTTGTGTTAATTAATTTTTACTGGCATAATAGCTGGTAGAAGAGCATTTCCTTTTATGATGTGATGGAAGTACAATCCTCTTAACTAGCAGTCAAAAGAATTTTATTCCATCTGTATCAGTCCAGAATCTGTTTGCTACACAATGCCAGTTGTGCACTGGGGTAGGCATACTTATAGTCAGCAATATTTATTTTTTGTAACTATCTTATTAAATGGGAAAATACAGACGGTTTAGAGTCATGTTAAGTGTCCTGAAGTAAACGTGTCCTGAAGTAAACGTGAATTGCCAACAGGCTGTTGCCATTTCAATTACCAACGCCCTGATGCCATTACCCAATTTAACCATCATGAATGCATTATTCTGAGGGCTTTCTGCAAAAAGAACAAGCTCTACTACCAAATAAAGGATCTTATTGTGAGTTGACTCTGTGGCCCTCTGGTCTTCCCACACACCCAAAGCAAAACCACGCTGTTCTCCTCTGTTTCTCAGTGGTTCTTTTACTGAAGAAAAACACAAAATTTTGTTGCACAGCTCTGAATCCTCACTTCATCCCACACAGCAACTTTCAGAARTTTAGAAAAGCATCATGCAAGCTAGAGCCATCACTGAACTGATTTTCCAAGGCTTTTACTTTGACACTGCCTTAAAATAAATAAAAGTATTAATAGCTTGCACGAGACATGCAGAGTCAAGAGAAAAACTTCAGAAGTCTATACACAAGGCATCTCCCTGACCTGGTAGTTATCCACATACAGATCAAAGCAAATCTTWCAAAAAAGAGTTACCTAAACCTTCAGATTCAAAGAGGTAAGTCTCGTCGACTCCAATGGCTCTACACCAGTTAAGAAAGTTGGCTGTATTATCTCTGGCAAAAAAAGATCCTGATGGAGCATCCTTCTTACATGGAACTTTTCTCATAGGAAAATTCTGGCATGAGAAGAAAACAAAAAGTACATTGTGCACATCAGCATTGCCAAGAGATTTCAAAGCATATGGTCAAAGGAAAATACACACTAAATTCAGAGTACAGAAACAATTGTAACTATTTTATGTACAACCCACCATGGATTTTATCGAAAAGCTACACTAATATAGAAGGCATTCTACCTTATCATTGTGAAAAGTCACTGAGTGAACAATCCTTAGTTCTGCAGCCTTTGTACTCCAAAGTAACAGAGACTTMCTTGAGATTCACATTTCAGCTGAACATTGGTTCTCAATGAAAACACTGAAAYCCATCTCCAGGTTTGGATACTTCTATGGCTGACCTGTACACTTGAGTTCAGCCAACATTTCTGGCATAAGATATACTACCAAGTGCCAATGGATATCTTATTAACAACCCACACTGATGTCAGGGGAATAGACTCCACACTTGGACTAGATCTTCCTCTGGCAAGACTTCTACTGAAATCAAACTAAAAACCTAGTCAGGACCTTAGGMAGTGATTAACAAAGCAAGTAATTTGTTGCATGAGTTTATCCATCTATAAAGCCACTTYGTTGTCAGTCAGTCTCTGGACGTACAGCATACAAAATACTTCTTTGGGAAGCTTCACTCATCTGCTTTCCCTATAATTACTACTTAGAATTTTAGACTTCATATATGTATTTTAAAAATCATTCTACTACTCACCCTTAAATTATTTGTGCTACAACAYTTTTTAACTGTGTTTTGAAGAACACCAGCCAATTGGCAAAGCAGTACCCCATTATCAAGTTCTTCTAGCAGTTGTTCTGCTTTGACTTCCATTCCTTTAAGAAAAAGAAGGTCAATATTAGAAATACACCCCAGAAGGTAAAGGAATTTCATATGAACTTACAGGCAACTCAAACAACATTCCAGTGTTAAAGACTGAAAAGTAATAGAAATAAGTAAAATATATATTAGTATCCATTTAAGTAGATTTTAATTAGACTAATAAGATTCAGAAATACAAACTAGAATTAAAAATTATGCAACCCTTAAGAGGTGGCAGCTAATAAAACTGAAACCAAAGCATGCATCTCAATGCAATTCTCCCAGCCATTCAAACTCAAATACACCAGACCTTAATAGTACCAGAGATATTAAGTGCCAGCATGAACTAGAATATTGGCAAGTGCTTTTAAATTCATTAGACAGTTTTTTGAGCTCACCCAGCAAGCCAGACAGCCAGATTGAGAGATCTTCTTGCATAGGCACCAAAGTTGCTTCATGCCGCACAGATATCCATTGGTCATACAGGCACACATCCGCCAGTCCCGGCCCATGTCTGGGAGTCAGAGGGCTCCGGGGACTCAAGGGAAGGTCATCTCCAAACCACACCTGCAAAGGATTTCAATAAGCTGGAGACAGGAAGCTCTAGAATTTGCAGTCAGATGACAAAATCTTGTGGTTTTGAATTACACTGAAGAACTATTACTCAGAGAGTAAGTGTTCATTTTCACTTTGGATAGATACAGCAAACCAACATAATAATTGGATGGTGCTGCTCTTGTTAATAAGTCCTGTGTCAAAATACTACTGCTTCCATTCTTCTGCCTCCTTTGGATTTAAAATTACATACCTTCCTGAATACAGAATAAAGAGGACGTGTATTAAGTGCTTGGTTTTTTTTTGACTTCGCATATTTTAAGTCAAGAATTCTGCAGTTTATAATACAATTTACTATAGACTACTGATTACTTGATCAAATATTTCAGAGGCATTTTGTACTTAAATCACTACAAAATTAGACATTAAAAGAGGGAACATTTCCATGCAAGAACATAACACATTTCTTGAACACAAATACTCAGCAATTTTCTTCAGGACTGCATATTTTCAGAATGAGAGGTAACTTACATTTCAAGAAAAGGACCACACTGAAATTTCATATAGAAAAATTTCCAAAGATAGAACCCTTCTGGTATTCTTAACAATGTTGCTTCTGTTCAGGGTGTATATAAAATACATTTATGTATTTACACTTAAGTGATTAACTAGAATATAAGGTTTTTAAAAAAACATTTCTTAATCATCATGGAAATTTCTCAATAATCTCAGCCTTTAACTTGAAAACTTCTTAGGTAACAGCAAAAGGGACACCCATCTGATAGTAAGGATGGGTTATCCATCTTGTCACATTACTCCTTGTAAAAAGGGGAAAGTATTACTTGCTTTTAATTAGAGGTAACTGGGGAATCTAGTTTTTGTCTGCTTCAGAGTAGTTTTTTGCATTAAAAAAAAARAAGTATTATACATGTATTCAGGATTCAAACATTTCAAAAGGCATTTACCTGAACTGCATTCTGCATGGTCATCTGCATTTACATTAGTTTCTCCTCCTGGGGAAAAATAAGAGATTTTTAATACAGTCTCTTCTGCTTTCACGAAATCCCAAGAAAAACCCATCACTGCTATTTTAGAAAAATAAGGAATGTAATATGAAGGGAAGGGGAAAAAGGGAAGTAACTTYATAGCAAAGGTTTTGATTCAGTATTCAGACAACTTCAGTTCTCTGCCCTTAGATAAAAGTGCAGTTATTACAGCACACAGACAGTAGTAACCAATTTTGTATGCCTTATCARTACTCCGAAGTTGGTAAAATTTTTAGGAGCTGTATGGCATTGATTTTGCCAGAGGAATACACATACTTCAAACCATTCTTTGATGTAACACTGTTGGCACTGATTTTTCCWCCTAACTTATCACAAGTGTATTTTGTAGATGTGTGCAGACAGATATAGTCATCCTGAGTTTACATTAAAAAAAAACTATGAAGCAAAGAAATAATTTTGAAGAATAAGATTTTCTCACAGAATAATGTGGGTTGGAAGGGACCTTAAAGATCATCAAGTTCTTGCATAGATACATGAGAGAAATCACTGTTTTGATTAAGTTGGGATTGTGATTTTACTGGCAGCATACTCCTCCTTAGCATACTCCTAAATTTTCAACAGAATGCTGCAAACTATTGCAGCAATAGCGTTATCAGGACAATTCCCTGGCAAAACAAATATTAAGGAAAATTTTAGAGACAATCTGGTCAATGCTGTTTCTCCTAAAGCCAACACTATTTTCCAGCAATGTTTTCAACCACAGGAAAATCCAGCACAAGCTCTACTCTGGGCTGAGGATTAGTAAATCTTTCCCTGGAGGCTCCAGGTCTAATGACRTGCAGCATTGCCAGGTTAGCTGTATGTACGTGTAAAAAAGATTTCTCCATAATAATTTTCCACAGTGGTACTTCATAATGTCAAAAAGTTCCTATCTCAATAAAAACAACTTACTTGCTCTGTTACTTAACAGACGAAATAAAATATCATCTTACTGATGAAACTGGAAACCAGATTGCAGACATGATCAGACATTTTWAACTCAGCTGTTTTCATTTAAAAATAAATAATTTTCCTCTTCTGTCCCAGATATTTAATCTTTGTATGTAGATGGCATTCTTCTGGCTTTCCATGACAAAAAGCTGAATAGCCCATCACAAAACACACAATTCTTGTAAAAATTCTCACTCTTTATCCTACATAGAAAGCAGAATGGTGTCATTTTCTCCCCCTTGTTCCTTCGCACTGCCCTAAATCTCATACACTACCTAGGACCACATGTGTCAAGCATTTCAAACAACTTACCTCTATGACTGGCAAATGAGCAACCAGTTTGGTTTCAGGTGAAGTCACTTCCTTGTACCAGAACTGCTAGCACTTCTCAGACCTTATCAGACACACTCCAAGTGATATCCTTCCCCTTTCTTTATTTTCTAGGGAAGGGGAAAAAAAAAACACACCAAAAAAAGAGAGATATCCTCTCCTTAATGTCATTTTTCCTTCTATGAATGAACAAGGGAAGGGAAGGGTATATACCAAGCATTACTAATGAGCATGTTATGCTTCCCACAGYTTTGTCCAAGGGAATACATTTTCCTTTGGCATAAGAAAGCTWTTGTCCTAAAAGAAGCTCAATAAGAGGCTTCATTGATTAAAAAAAAAAGAAAACAACAGCAGAACAGCCAGAAGAGAAGTTGGTCTCATTAAAATAARGAGCTCCATATAGGCTAACAAGAGCTCTAGCATATTAACTGCCAAGGGAAAACAAAAGGCAGCCTAATTCACAGGGAGCACCCAAAACATGAACAAAGCAAAATATTCACACTGCAGCTATCACAGGAATGCTCAGCATCTGCAGTTTTGTGGCATGCCTAAAAARAACTAATCTTGCCAAAAAATAAAAAAGAGGAGATTGAGGAAAATTGTAGCACTTGAACTTCAAGGGCCCGCTCTTCTGAAAAACAAGATATTTTGTAAGCCCATATGTCAGAGTTCCCTAGAAAGTCAAACAGCTTCATTAATTATTAGGGCATCTCAAAAACACTTAACAAAAAAACCTTCTGATGATGCAGGCTACAGTGCATGAATTTTGTGTTGAAAAAGTAATATAGTAACCATTACCCACTTTCAGATGCCAAATAGTTCAGCTCAGAGACTGCAGAGAATACAGATTAATGTAGCCTTATCACTTACTGCGAGAGTCAGAGGACRAGAAGACCCAGATCTGCCCCCTTCAAGTAGTCAGCCTGCAAATGTGCAGAAGGTGCTGTGGTGAGGTGGATACTGCAGTACCAAGCAGAGTCATAACCAAATCTGACTTCTTCTAAAACCAGTTGGGTTCCCTGCATCAAAAAGCTGTACATAATGAATGAAGTCAGTATTGGATACTGAAYTTTGGCAGCTCCAGCTAGGACTGTATCAGTTCTTACACATGCCAGTTTTATCATGTCACCTTCATTCAACAAGCATTTGGTGTTCATGCACTGAAGTTTGGGAAAGAAAAGACCTTAGAATAAAACTAGACTGTAACATGTCACCTGCATAGCTTCAGGTCATGCCATTCTCATTTCCAGGCAGCTGATACTCTCAAGGTCCCTTGGGACAAAAGACTGAATAAGCCCATCACAGCAGAAACAATTCTTTTAACAATTCTTCCCCTTCCTCTTACTCTTTTTGGTGTTGTTTCTTCCCCATTTCCCCTTCCCTGCTTCACCCCTTTGAACATCAAAAACACCAGAAACTTCGAAGCAGCCAGGAGCAACCAGACCAGTTCCAATCTCAGCAAGCACAGAGGTCCCTCACCACCAATCCCATTCCCAGGAAACATCCCATTTCTGCTGCCTATGGCTCTGTGGGATGGAAGGAGAGGAGATGTCACCTAGACACACCTTGCAGCTGGATCAACACAGAGACACTGATATACTGGGCAACAGGTGGTCAACCCCAAATGATATATCAGGAGAGGCAAGAACTGCCCTCAGCTGGCTGAGTGACAATCTCCAGGGAAGGACTACAGCTATGGATCAACACCAGGTAAGAGATGAGAAAAACATACCTACCTATTGACACRTGGCATAGGGACAGGCATTCCTGGGGAAAGGGGGTGCACACACACCCTGGGCATGACCCACATAGGCTTGTGAGACCACAGTTTGCCTCTGCTCTCCACAGAGATGCCCARCACTTTGCCCCCAGACAGTCAGAGAAACAGCAGAGTCAGCAAATACTACAGCACTTTACACAAATACTTCAGGGTGTTAACACTGCTCTTAGATGSTGGATGAGATAGCCTGCTTAGTATCAGTTCTATCAGGATTTATAGATCACTCACTGGGGCCCAACCAGCAAGACATGCTACACTAATTACAACCCATTCTGTAGAACAAGATGAACCAAGTCCAAATCCCATTTTACTTGACTGAACAGTTTACAAATAAACTCCACAACCCTACAGATRGCTAAAACATTGATGAAGCAGCCATTGACTTAGCTTAAGTGGAACCAAAAGGGATTCACAGGCTCATTAAAACACTTTCAGTTAACAGACTCATTAAAAAAAAAACTTGGGTAGAAACATTTTTACATCTTCACCCTATATTTAAGATATAGAACATCATCTATTCCATCAACACCCAAAGGTAGTCACAGCAGTCTAATCCAGAGCAGCTGGATTAGTCTTGATAGTATCTACTGAAACCCTTGTTTATAAACACACTGAAATGAAAGAAGCTGTCATGTCAGTATCTGTTGAAACCTACTACAGGATAGTCAAGATGTTTTTAGGGACACATATAGTAACATGCAGAAGAAAAGGGGTAGGCACTRGAGATATCCACTGAACGGAGCACTACTCCTTTCTTCACTACATCAATTACAGAGCCTTTATATTGCATTACTGAGTCAGCAAGAGCTCTTCATCTCTGGGGAGGCCTCAGAGGCACAAAAGAGAAAGAACCAGACTAGTCAGTCCAAGGCTTTAAGGTGGCAACCAACTCCTTACATTAAGGCATGCTGACTGCTCTCCACAGAGACTGCATCTCCGTACCTTTCCATGAAGTGCACACAAGCAGAGGCAGGGAGCACACACTCTGCTTCCAAAAGGCAACAAAGACCCTGGATGCACCTGTCAGGGCAGAGAAACCCACTTGAAATCAGGGAGGAGCACTCCATCTCAATAGGCGGCATCTCCACAGGAGACGCGCAGACGGCTGCTTTCCCACAGGAGCATCCAGTTTGGGCAGAGGCTGGTGAACACCAGACACGCTACCCCAGCTGCTCACTCACATTCACAGGCAAGCTCTTCTCTCCCTCCCGTTCCACCCCATACTTCTTTCAGCAAAACAACATGAAAGGGAGCATTGCTCTAAGCCCATTTAACAGGCTGGTGGCTATCAACAGCCAGGAATAGTTTATTATGGCTTAAATATAAAATCGTGTCTTATTCTKAAAGACCCACCCAGTACAATTTCAAATGCATAGAACACTTAGGTCTTATAGYTCCTAAAAGAATACATGTACTTTTTGCCATGTCTTGATCTATCTGATACTATGCCAAAGGTGACACACAGCATCCCAGGAACACGGCCAACTTTTAAAAGCAGCCAGACGCTTTTCGGCTTACTAAGCAATGTGAAGRAGTGTTTTAGCCAAGAGCACTGGGGCAAATTTCCTACAGAAACAGCACTGCATCCTCAAACGCCYGAGTAGGGCACAGGAGAGACTGGTTTGAAGGCTGTTATGCAAAAGCTCTCCCCTCTCCCTTCCTCATGGTAAGTTTCGAGCACTTCCGACATCCGTGACAGAGACGCCGGATGGGAGCTACCGCCGCTGGACGGGTGACCGGGCCGATCCCGGTGAGCGGCGCCGCCCAACACGGTCAGTGCCCGGGACTCCCCGACACGCGGGACACTGAACGCGYTTCCAGCGCTGCCCCTGCGGACAGGCGGGACTCGCCGAGCGCCGCCGCTGCGGAGCTGCGCGCCCGAGGCACGGACGGGAGCGGTACCGCGGTACCCCGGCCCCGCCGCCCCTCCGCCGCCCCGCACCTCCCCCGGGGTACCGCGGCCTCCCGGTGCTGGTTGCCGTCACACCCACCGCTCTGCTGTGCCGTCCTGTCCCGTGTCGAGCCGTCCCGTGCTGTGCCGTGCCCCCGCCGGCAGCCGCTCCCCTCACGGCACATCGGGCGCCGCCGCCCCGGCCCGCGCCGGCCGCTCCTTTCGAAAGCGCCAATGGGCGCCCGGGGGCGGGCCCGTCCCTCCGCACCTGGCCCGGCGCCGCGGCCCCGCTGCTCCCGGCGACAACGCGCTGGGACACCGCCCGTCCGCACTCCCGGGAC